TCCTGCAGCAAGCACATTTTCCTCAAGAGTAAGTCTTAAGAATTAGATAATCCTTTCATACTCACAAAGAAAATGACTCATAGCAGAAAAGGTTTCTTGATTTCTTCAACAAGTATACTTGTCCCACGAGTCAGTCTTAAAGATTAAAAATCCTCTCATACTCACAAAACAAGAGACTTAAAGTAGAAACAAGTATCTTAATCCATATAAACAAGTTCCTTCAAGATCATGTGCTTAAGTTTAATCATTCAGCATGACCTTCTCCAACTTATCTCTACTTCATCCAAGCTGGATCTCTTGATTGAGTAGTTTTTCTCACCGAATCTTTTATGTTTCACTGTTAAGTGATAAGGCACAATCGGGCTCTGATACCAACAAAAGGTGAGAAAAATAGACAAGAAAGGGGTGGGGGAGGGGGTGAATTGTGTATGTCAAAATATGAAAAACTCTTTTCAATAACTATTTCTTAACCATCATATTCTGAATCACATTCAGAGTTTAATGTCAGAGTGAAGACAAAAGTGAAAGGGTTACTTATTTTTCTTACTCTTGTTTTAGAACCTAAGGTTTCACGCTCTGATTTTGATCTAAGTAAGAGTCTGAATCAAATTAGAGTCTGACATATCTTGGTTCCTCTAAACTAAGAATAGTGCAGCCCCCTTACAGCATACGATATTTTAACTATAATCCGACTGATTACGATTGCTTAAGCCAACAACTCAAGATTTTCTGTTCAATCCCACGGAAAGACACTTCTGCTCAAGCCCGCAAGCATGAGACTTCATTGACTAAACACATGTTAAGGACTTCCTGCTCAATCACCCAGATCGAGACTTCCTTGCCTGAACTACCCTTTCAGGACTTCCTGCTCAAGCCCTTAAGCATGATACTTCCTGCTCAATCACACTGATCAAGACTTCATGCTTTTTTCGTAAGCATGAGACTTCAATGCCTAAACATCAAGTTCAATACTTTTGCTCAATCATCAGAAAGAGACTTTACTCTGAGCACAAAGGCTAGAGTCTTCAGATTATCTTAAGAGAGACATCTGGTATAAACCTTGTGTTCATATACGTGTTTCTTGGATAAGAAGATACACAGAGGTTTTACACTTTTGAGCATATTTGAGTTGATTTCTCCTGAGTGTAGAAGAATGAAGATTTCATTCTTATTTTCTCCTCGTACAAATTTTCATATTGTTGCGCCATCCTGTTTTGATGAACATGTTCACATATTCTATCTTCAAAATGTATGTTAACATGTTTCACTTTGCTCTAACACACTTAACCTTTCTGGTAAGATAATCTTTTGAAATGTGTTTCTCTTAACCCATTCAGTGAACGGGTATCACATCCATGTGAACACAGTCCCATAATCTTTAACTCACGTTCATTCTCTTGAGAGGTAGAGGTCCAGCTCATAGAGATGTTGCAAGAAGCTTCCTTTTTTTTTCTCATCAACATCTGAATGTTTTCAATCTTCATCCTTAAATAGATACTAAGAAAAGATTAGTTGAAGATTGAAACTGCCATGGTACAAATAACCGCTGAAAGCTACCATGGTACGAGTAGTCGTTGAAGGTCTTTAGTTTATGGACAATAGAGTGAGCTAAAAACTCAGCTAGCATAAACACGTTGAAAGTAGTAGAGAAAAGTTCTGAACAATTGGAGAGAGAAGATACTGACAACATCACTATCACCAGATTTAACATAAAGTAGTGTGTCGTTGTCACGCGATCTTCCTTAGACTGGAGTCTTCTTTTAGACGTTTGTTGAAGCTGGCTCAAAGTTGATGTTATCCTTATAATTTGCCTTTTGATTTAGATGCTTTTTATATAGTTAGTTAAAGCATGATCAGAAGTTAAAGTATGTCTTTAGAACCTGGTTGGAATGATACTTCAGAGTCTTGAGTTCATAGGTTTTGAGTCATGCCTTCATCAGAGTCTTGATCAGAACTAGTCTGGATAATCACCTGCAGAGTTATAAACTTGAAGTAGACAAATTCTTTTGAAGCAATATCTTCAGAACAACTGATGCAACTTGTTCAGAAGATGCAGAGATGTTCCTTGTACCAAAGTTGTCTTGCTTCAAAAGGTTCCAGTCTTCATAGCTGAGTTGATCTTTGTATTTCCAATTAAGCATATGTTTAACATCTGAAAGACTTGAGTCAGACTCTTTAGAGTCTAATATCTTGATTCTGATTCTTCAGATTCAGAACATTTTTGTTCTCTTTAATGGTTCTTCTAAGTGATTAACTCGATTCATATCAAGGTTAATGTATTTTGATCCTACACACTCAAATAACCATTAGTAAACCCTATTTCTCTTTCAATACTTTGTTATCATCAAAACCTTTTAAGGGACTGAACAAATCTTGTTCTAACAGCTGCTTGGAACTCAAGTAAAAAACCAGTAGTTACACTATCGTCGTGTGAAGCCGAGTATATAGCTGTTTCCCTATGTGCATGTCAAGCAATGTGGATGGTCAATTTGGTTAAAGAAATTACGGGGAAGAATCATGGAGCAATTACCATGAAGATTGACAGCATGTCAAATATCAATCTAACAAAGAATCAAATAACACATGGAAAAAGAAAGCACATCAAAATGAGGTTCCATTATCTTCGAGAGCAAGTGACATAAAAGAAGTTAAACTTGGAACACTGAAGAATTGAGAATCAGATTGTATACATCATGACGAAAGGTCTGCAAGTTAAAGTGCTCAAAAGACTAAGAACAATGATGAATGTAGATAAATTAGACATAATGAATTAGGTGGTGTGTTGAAAATATAATTTTGTGTGTCAATGTACTATTTCGACAAAGTATGTTATCGTTGAAAAATGTTCTATCTATCGAAATTGTATAACTGCCAAAATGTCAAAGAAGTGTATCTCGATAGAATTAAAGACTTAGTTTTATTTGTGTTTTAACTGAGTTAGTTAAGTTAGTTGAAGATTGCTTGGTGCGCAAGCAATCTCATCCTATAAATAGGGAGATACTCTATCATTGTAAAATATAATTACATAGAGAAATGTTAGCATAAAACTTCAGTTTGAAGGCAGAGAGAAACTCTGCAGAAATATTCTCTTTCTTCCTCTTTTCCCCAAAATCCTAATTTCCCTTTCTTTCCCAATTCATCTTTTCCTTTCTTATTTCATTATCAATTATGCATCGAAACATCTTGTAACCAAGGTGTGGTTGATTCACTCGAGTGAAGAGTGAAGAATAAGATGAGTAATCAATCAGAAGAATTGATTCTTGTTCATAAAGTAATTCAGAATTCTCCATAGGTTTGGTAAAATTCCAACATCAAGAACTCATTGAAATCCCAACACGTTGAAGTAGTTTTGTCAGAACTTTAGACAATGAATTCTATAACTGCAAAATGGGCTAGCCCACACGGGCCGCCCCGCCACGCCTGAAAAATCACAGGGCTTGATATTTAAAATTAGAGCTCATATTTTTTAAGACTTTTTTAGCACAGCCCTAAAAAGTCAGCTACTCATTAGGGCTAGCCCATATGGATCGTGGGTAGCGCATTAGGCCCACGTCGCTATAAATTTTAAAAAATTATATTAATACTTATCTTGTCTTATTCCAAAATGACACATTGATTTTTCTCACCTCACTAAATTTTATCACTATTCTATTTAATCTTTCTCTTTTAAATATTATACATCAATATAATCAACATTTTTTCTCGTGTTCTATTAGTCTATCTTATGTTAAATATTCGAGCATTATTTTATACAATTTAAACATGTATTGTATTCAAAAAAACATTATGATATTTATAAAAGATAATATAGTACTTTAATATTCGAATATTAATTAAAATAATAGGAAAAAAATATCGTTTTAATCCTTTAAGTTATTTTAAAATATCAAGTTAGTCCTTTAAGTTTTTTTTTTGTAACGCTTTGATCCTTTATGTTAAGTAACATTTTCGTCGTTGACCTTTTTAAAATTTTCTGTTACAATAAATTGCAAACTTATATACCATTTGAACTAGTTTTTCGCATTGATCACAAATATGTAACTAAATTTGCGTTTGATTGTGTATTTTGGTCGGATCGAATAATTTTTCATTATGTATTTGTCAACTTTTTTTCCTGATTCTCATGAACCGTAACTTGTTTAATAAATTTGATTGCATATTCATGATCAGCGCAAAATCAGTTCAAATGGTATATGAGTTTGCAATTTATTATAACGAAGATTTTTAAAAAATCAACGTCGCAAACGTTACTTAACATAAAAGATTAAAGCGTTAAAAAGAAAACTTAAAAGACTAACTATTTTAAAATAAACATAGACATTATTTTTGCCAAAATAATATAATTTTTAATTTTATTTATCATAAATATTACGATATTTTTATTTTGAAAAATTATGTTTAAGATCGAATAATTTGAGACTTATCTTAGGCTAAATTCGAGTAATAATTTTTTTAACACATATTGAATATTAGTTTCCTAAAAAAATTTGAGCCACCAGAATTGACCCGCTTAAGGTCGGTTATACTTTGACAGCTTAGTGAATTCTAACCATGTGAATGTTGTGACTGTGGTATTGTTTTTCTTTCATACATAATGAAAGTTCCTTTTACCTTTTAAAAAAAAAAGTTATTTTTAATAAATTCCTTTTGGCACTTTTCCAAAATAAAATATTAACTTTATTAATAACATCTGTACGAAAAAACATATAATAATAATAATAAAGCATAGCAGCAAGACTTTAAAATAATCTATAAAAAAAAATGGAATAGCAGCAGCAAGAATAATTAAAGAAAACTAGGCAAAGCTATAAAAAAAATTCATTATTTACTTTTCACTAACAACTACAATAAATGAATAAACACATAAATAAAAGATGTTTCTCTCTGCACTATACATCAATGAACTCGTAACAATACATGATAATTCCATAACAAATAAATAGTGTTCCCTTTCCACCAAATTCACAAGAAAATAAATGGACTCATTTGACGTTTATTTTTCAGTTCTTAAAGATGGCGAGAATTGACAGCACAATCGAAGCTCCGATCATGGCGACCGAACTTGTAACAGATCCGGCAGCTCCAGCATCTGGACCGGGTGCTGGGGCGGAGGCTAAACTGACGTCTTGAGCGGAGGCAATGGAGGCAAAGACAAAAAGGAAACAAAAGATGTTGACAGTGCTGATTGTTGATGCCATTGTAAAATTGCTTAGCAGAAAAGAAAACGTGCAATTGAAAAAAATAGTAGAAAATGTGAAGTAGGGAGAAGTTTGTTGGTTGAAGAGATTTTGATATATGTTGATGGCAGTGAGTTGCAAATACTTATAGAAGTATTGAGGATGGCAGGTGGGACCCACAACAAAGGCACAGACAGCTGTAAAGAGAAGCAGCTGTGTTAAAGTAAGAAATGAATGGTTGTCAGGTTGGTGCCGTTATATTATTTTATTTTTGGTATCACCGGGTCCGTTACATTATTTTGCAATGTGAGATGTTCTCTTTTTCTTTACTGGACTTTGACCCGTATTTTTTTTAGTATGTCATATATAATATTTTATTTTTTATTTATATAATAAGATATTATATTAATATTTATAATGTAATTGTTGAAATAATTGATATTAAAATAGTTTTTAATATATAAAATAAAAATAAATAAATTTTAAAACAAATAAATATTGAATAATTTTTAAATTAAAAAATTTTAAATATCATAAATGATTTGACATACATATCAAGAAATAAGTAAACAATTAACTATTGAACATTATGAAAGACTTCTTTATATGTGTTCTAATTCTCTTAAAAGAATTATGTCTTCCAGTTCCTTCTGCCACGCTATAACTTTGAGAAGGATTGTGCTTACATATTTTCGGTTGTGGAAGAGTATATTATATGAATCATGTGTATTTGTTTGACAACAATCATCTATTTATAATAATAGTTATAGGATGTGAAGAATAATGCATAAATGTGTGTATTTATTAATTTAGAGGCTCAAGATTAATGATATCAAAATGCATTGGATGTGTATGTTAGAAGTTAATACAATTTTTTAGATTACCAAAGAATGTATACGTGAGAAGTTGGTGTAACTTTTTAATCAAAAAGTGTGATTTCAATTGCTTTAGCTGTATAGGTTAGAAGTTAATGCAACTTTTCAGATTCTGAAAATTCAATGCATGAATGTATTGGATCCAAACAAAATGATTATAGTTATTTCTTAAGTAACCGTAGGCATATTCAATGCATTAAATGATTGTTTTTTCATCACTTTTATTTGTTTTAATAGTGATTATTATTTATTAATAATTTATTATGTTTATATTTTTAATAATTTTAAAATGTAGCACAGACGTGCAAGTATTGATATAATTTAATACAAATAAAAGCTAAATACTTTTATTAAATAAGTATATAAAACTAAATACTTTTATTAAATAAGTATAAGGTTTAAAACAAATTATTTTGTTTTTTAGTAATAATAATATATAAAGCTAAATACTTTTATTAAATAAGTATAAGGTCTAAAATAAATTATTTTATATTTTCTTAGTAATAATATTTTAAAGTTAAGTTTAATCTTTAACTAATTAAAATTATAGATATTATTATAATATTATTTACTATATTAAAAATCTTAAATATTTAAATTTTTCTCTTATAAGTAGGGACAAAAAATAAAAAAAAAATTCTCACATGGAGTAAGTTTTAAATAGAAAAACCCAAATAAAATAGATATTATTTTATCAATTTAGTCATATCAATTAATATTATTTAATCATTTTATCTTTTAACATTTAGAATATTTTTGTGTTCAATATGTGGGGTTGTGCATTTAATGATAATCATTATGCATTGCATATATACCTAAAATAACGTTTTAGATTTACAAAAAATGTACTGAACATGTGATAAGTTAGTGAAAATCTTTATTATATAAAACTTTGCATTGAGTGTATACGTTGGAGTTTAATGCAACTTTTCATATCTACAAATAATTAATATGTGTGAAGTTAATGTAATTTTTAAAATGATTCATACTAATCTCTATGTCAGCAAATCAATAATAAATTTAAAATATAAATAAATAATTAATAACTAAAGTCATAGTTGGAGCATAAAGGAGAGAAAAGAGAGAGAATTACGGTTTCATAAGAGCTCACATGGAGTAAGTTTTAGATAGGAAAACTCAAATAAAATAGATATTACTTTATCAATTTAGTCATATCAATTAATATTATTTAATCATTTTATCTTTTAACATTTAGAATATTTGTGTTTTCAATATGTGAGGTTGTGCATTTATTAATTAAGAGACTCAAGACTAATGATAACTATTATGCATTGGATGTATACCTAAAATAACTTTTTAGATTTACAAAGAATGTATTGTACATGTGAGAAGTTAGTGAAAATTTTTATGTTTATTATATAAAACTTTGCATTGGGTGTAACCATAGGCATATTCAATGCATTAAATAATTGTTTTTTCATCACTTTTATTTGTTTTAATAGTGATTATTACTTATTAATAATTTATTATGTTTATATTTTTAATAATTTTGAAATGTAGCACAAAAGTGCAAGTATTGATATAATTTAATGCTTTATTTATGTAGAAAAACCCAAATAAAAGCTAAATACTTTTATTAAATAAGTATATAAAGCTAAATACTTTTATTAAATAAGTATAAGGTTCAAAACAAATTATTTTGTTTTTTTAGTAATAATAATATATAAAGCTAAATACTTTTATTAAATAACTATAAGGTTTAAAACAAATTATTTTATGTTTTTTTAGTAATAATACTTTAAAGTTAAGTTTAATCTTTAACTAATTAAAATTGTAGATATTATTATAATATTATTTATTATATTAAAAATCTTAAATATTTAGATTTTTCTCTTATAAGTAGGGACAAAAAATAAAAAAAAATTCTCACGGGGAGTAAGTTTTAGATAGGAAAACTCAAATAAAATAGATATTACTTTATCAATTTATTGATATCAATTAATATTATTTAATCATTTTATCTTTTAACATTCAGAATATTTGTGTGTCCAATATGTGTTTTTATCTGTGTTTTTTTTACGGGTCCAACCATGTTTCTATTTAAACATATAAGTTTATCACAAACATAGTTCTCATATTCGTAAAACAAATCAAAACATTAAAACAAATGTCATATTTGGCATTAACTTGGTTCAACAACTGATAAATTAAAACGAAAATAACTGCAAGACACAACAAATATTCTTCAACAGGCAGGTCACTCAATCAGATTTTTCAAGCTTTACACATTTAAAATCTTTGACAACTGATGAAGCACCACCATTGATATCATTCACAACAATTGATTCAGGACTATCAAACAACCTCTTCCCCAATGTCTTGCTTGTAGGTGTATTTCCAGAATCTGCAGTAGTCAATTCCTCTTTGTTTGAATCACCACCTTCAATTGCCTCCTACATATATAATTTAATAACCATAAAAATGATATAGTACACAAATTGTAAAATCATTTGAACGTGATAAAAAAATTAAAAATTAAAAAACAACTTATATACCATAACATTTTTTATAAGAAATAATCAATTAGTAAAAATATATGAACTAAACATATATAAACTGATTAGCATCAAATGAAAATACTTTTGACACCTTTTGTAGACATCCTCGAACTCAACTAAGTATAGCAACCTTAACTTCAGTATTATTTTTAAACTTGTGATGTAGGAGTATTTGTTTGATAGAAACCACTATTTATAATAATAGCTTATGAAGAATAATGGATACGTGGGGTTGTGCATTTATTAATTGAGAGGCTCAAGACTAATGATAATCATTATGCATTGGATGTATACCTAAAGTAACTTTTTAGATTTACAAAGAATGTACCGTACATGTGAGAAGTTAGTGAAAATCTTTTAAATGATTCATACTAATCTCTATGTCAGCAAATCAATAATAAATTTAAAATATAAATAAATAATTAATAACTAAAGTTATAGTTGGAGCATAAAGGAGGGAAAAGAGTGAGAATTAGGGTTTCATAGGAGTTGCATAGGTTGTTCAATTTTATATAATAAAGATGTTAATTAAACAGCCCATGATGATTGGTAAAGATTTTTTCTTGGAGAATTCAACCTCTGGCATGACTCGTGATACATTCAAGGGAGCTTGTTTAACAAGTCAATGTTTAGTCATAGTTAGGGTTGGATAATGAATGGACATTTATTTTATCCATGATGTGGGGTGCTTTTTAATGAAAAGTCACAAGGACTCATAAATTTTAGAGAATCATTTATGGATGCATTTAAATTAAACATTAATATTTTTTAGTGAGTTAATCTATGTTGTCCAATAATATTTTTGAAGATGTATCTTTGTATTAATTTTAGGATTATTTTAAACGTGTAATTCTATAAAGATTTTTATTTTAAAATTTAATGAAATTTACAGAAATTTATCCCTGTAATACTTTATTTAAGCCTAAATAAAAAATCAGTAACAAATAGATGAAAAAAACTTAATTTAATATCATAATACATAGCATTATATATATAATCATATCATAAATACATAGCATATTCTTAACATTACATTATATGAGGATGTTGCAACATCATTAGAATATATTATGTCAATTTTGTAATTGTCGCATCCACTTCAATCAAACTATTTATTTCGCAATGGTGAAATGTACTCCACATAATCCTTAAATCGTCATTTGTATTCAGCTCAAACTTATTGAACTAAATATTCCCTTCGTTGTCAATTGCATGTGAACGGTACTGTCATACCTCAAATTTTATCTACTTGTGTATAACTTTCATCTGTACTTCCATCCACTAACCATTATTTAGAAAATCCAAAAATATGTTGTTTCTGCTTGCCTGAATTCAGTTTTCATTCAAGAACATCAAGGTCAGCGTGCATTGATTTAGGTGGTGTGTGTCTGATACTCCATTTAGGGTTTTCTGGGCTAATTTAAGACAGTTGTGTGGACCAAGTTGTCGAACTGTGTCAAGTTATCAGTGCTTCGTGACTGAAGATTATCAATTACTAGTTCATTTTTAATCAGGATTTTTATGCTTTGAAGTTCATCAAGATTGATTTGTGATTCAAAATTTCTAAGGCTGAGATTGGTTCATAGTCTCTCAAGGGCAGTTCCATATCCATTCAACAATTACCATT